TCTCGATTATTTAGACGCTATTTTTAGAATTGAAGGCAAAGTTCGTTTTGAACCCTACACCAAGACCTGACTTTGCCAAATGGAGTTATTTTGCCCGAGTGTTGGGTCTCTTCCTGCTCGTTAGACCGTCAGCACTTGGGAAAACAAACCAAAGCAAAGGAAAAACGATTACAACAAAAATGCAAGTTTCCTATAGGCCACATAGAGCAAAAATACCAAGACCTAACTTTGCCAAATGGAGTTATTTTGCCCAAGTGTTGTGTCTTTTCCTGCTCGGCAGACCGTGAGCACTTGGGAAAACACACCAAAGCAAAGGAAAAACGATTACAGCAAATATGCAAGTTTCCTAAAGAACACATAGAGCGAAAATGCCAAGTCCTAACTTTGCCAAATGGAATCATTTTGCCCAAGTGTTGGGTCTTTTCCTGCTCGGTAGACCGTCAGCACTTGGAAAAACACACCAAAGCAAAGGAAAAACGGTTACAGCAAAAATGCAAGTTTTCTATATGACACATACCGCGAAAATGCCAAGACCTAACTTTGCCAAATGGGGTTATTTTGCCCAAGTGCTGGGTCTTTTCTTGCTCGGTAGATCGTCAGCATTTTGAAAAACACACCAAAGCAAAGGAAAGACGATTACAGCAAAAATGCAAGTTTCCTATAAGACACATAGAGCGAAAAGCCAAGACATAACTTTGCCAAATGGGGTTATTTTGCCCAAGTGTTGGGTCTTTTCCTGCTCGGTAGACCGTCAGCACTTGGGAAAACACATCAAAGCAAAGGAAAAACGATTACTGCAAATATGCAAGTTTCTTATAGGACACATAGAGCGAAAATGCCAAGACCTAACTTTGCCAAATAGGGTTATTTTCCCCAAGTGTTGGGTATTTTTCTGTTCGGTAGACCGTCAGCACTTGCACAAACACATCAAAGCAAAGGAAAAGCGATTACAGCAAATATGCAAGTTTCCGAAAGGACACAGGGAGCGAAAATGCCAAGACCTAACTTTTCCAAATGGAGTTATTTTGTCGAGGTGTAGGGTCTTTTCTTGCTCGGTTGACATTCAGCACTTTGAATAACACACCAAAGCAAAGGAAAAACGATTACAGAAAAAATGCAAGTTTCCTATAGGACACATACAGCGAATATGCCAAGACCTAACTTTGCCAAATGGGGTTATTTTACCCAAGTGTTGGGTCGAAAATGCCAAGACCTAACTTTGCCAAATGGAGTTATTTTGCCCAAGTGTTGGGTCTTTTCTTGCTCGGTAGACCTTCATCACTTGGAAAAACACACCAAAGCAAAGGAAAAACGGTTACAGCAAAAATGCAAGTTTCCTATAGGACACATACAGCGAAAATGCCAAGACCGAACTTTGCCAAATGGGATTTTTTTGCCCAAGTGCTGGGTATTTTCCTGCTCGGTAGATCGTCAGCATTTTGAAAAACACACCAAAGCAAAGGAAAAACGATTACAGCAAAAATGCAAGTTTCCTATCGGATACATAGAGCGAAAATACCAATATCTAACTTTGCCAAATGGAGTTATTTTGCCCGAGTGTTTGGGTATTATCCTGCTCGGTAGACCGTCAGCACTTGGAAAAACTTACCAAAGCAAAGGAAAAACGGTTACAGCAAAAATGCAAGTTTCCTATAGGACACATACAGCGAAAATGCCAAGACCGAACTTTGCCAAATGGGGTTATTTTGCCCAAGTGTTGGGTATTTTCCTGCTCGGTAGATCGTCAGCACTTGGAAAAACACACCAAAGCAAACGAAAAACGATTACAGCAAAAATGCAAGTTTCCTATAGAACACATAGAGCGAAAATGCCAAGACCTAACTTTGCCAAAAGGAGTTATTTTGCCCGAGTGTTGGGTCTTTTCCTGCTCGGTAGACCGTCAGCACTTGGAAAAACACACCAAAGCAAAGAAAAAACGATTACAGCAAATATGTAAGTTTCCTAAAGGACACATAGAGCGAAAATGCCAAGACTTAACTTTGCCAAATGGAGTTATTTTGCCCAAGTGTTGGGTCTTTTCTTGCTCGGTAGACCTTCAGCACTTTGAAAAACACACCAAAGCAAACGAAAAACGATTACAGAAAAAATGCAACTTTCCTATAGGACACATACCGCGAAAATGCCAAGACCTAACTTTGACAAATGGAGTTATTTTGTCCAAGTGTTGGGCCTTTTCTTGCTCGGTAGACCGTCAGCACTTGGGAAAACACACCAAAGCAAAGGAAAAACGATTACAGCAAAAATGCAAGTTTCCTATAGGACACATACAGCGACAATGCCAAGACCTAACTTTGCCAAATCGACTTATTTTGCCCAAGTGTTGGGTCTTTTCCTGCTCGGTAGACCATCAGCACTTGGAAAAATACACCAAAGCAAGGAAAAGCGATTACAGTAAAAATGCAAGTTTACTATAGGCTACATAGAGCGAAAATGCCAAGACCTAACTTTGCCAAATTGAGTTAGTTTACCCAAGTGTTGGGTCTTTTCCTGCTCGTAGACCGTCAGCACTTGGACAAACACACCAAAGCAAAGGAAAAACGATTACAGCAAAAATGCAAGTTTCCTAAAGGACACATACAGCGAAAATGCCAAAACCTAACTCTGCCAAATGGAGTTATTTTGCCCAAGTGTTGGGTCATTTCTTGCTCGGTAGATCTTCAGCACTTTGGACAAACACACCAAAGCAAAGGAAAAAGGATTACAGAAAAAATGCAAGTTTCCTATAGGCCACATAGAGCGAAAATGCCAAGACCTAACTTTGCCAAATTGAGTTAGTTTGCCCAAGTGTTGGGTCTCTTCCTGCTCGTAGACCATCAGCACTTGGACAAACACACCAAAGCAAAGGAAAAACGATTACAGCAAAAATGCAAGTTTCCTATAGGACACATAGAGCGAAAATGCCAAGACCTAACTTTGCCAAATGGGATTATTTAGGTCTTTTCCTGCTCGATAGACCGCCAGCACTTGGAAAAACACACCAAAGCAAAGCAATAACAGTAGTATATGTGTTTTCTGATATAGCGCATCCAGTTTGATCCCGTTTTTGAGATGGAAGGTATATGTCTTTTCGGATATGACGCATTTCACTTCTGCGCATGCGTAGCTTTTTCAATGCGTCATATCCGAAAAGACACAACTGTTAAAATGTATTATAACAGACTCCTCAAACTGTTAAAATGTATCATAACAGACTCCCCAAACTGTATTATAACAGACTCCTTCCAAACTGTATTATAACAGACTCCATATAAATTACACAGACAACAATCACTAATAATAATACAGTAAAAAATAACCGCATTAAAAATGTCTTTAATTTTAAAACACGAACAAAAAAAATTCGAAGGAGACGGTTTCTTCTCTGCGCTAACATCTCTCATCCCCAAAGTGGCCAATTTTGTCTCAAACAACAAATCCCTCATTTCCTCAGAAGCGCAAGCCCTTGGATCTGTGTCAAAAGCAGGAGTAAATATAAGCGATGCAGTGAAAAAATCTGACGAACTTATAGAACTGCAGCTAATAAGAGAACTAAGAAACAAGAGACTAGAACGACAAGCCCTAGAAAAACAAGGAAAAGGGTTTAAAATCATTGGATAAAAATGGCAAGCAAAAATTACAGATTGGATCCAATCTTTCAATTGTATGATCCGATTCAATATTCGTTCAACAAGAAGAAAGAGGATTACGTAATCATCTCACCATCGGTAGGGACAAAGACCCAAATAAACGACGGAGGAAGAGTTACCTTTGAAATTAATTCGTTGTCTAATTGGTTGCTGCTTTCCGATGCCCATTTCCGATGCGATTTCAAAATCAAAGACGCCACTCAGAATCGAATTCCACAAACCAACACGACTTTAGAAAACAACTTCTTTCCGTCATTATTCAGCGAAATGGTTTTGGAAGCTTGTTCAAATCCGATAGAGACCATAAAACACCCCGGCGAGTTTGACACAATGTTGAAAACGGTTCTGTATCCCAAAAACTACGATTCAGTTTCGGGATGGATTCCCGATGTCGGTGACGGAGAAGTTTTAAAAGAACCGGTCAGAACTGTAGCAAATGACGCAGACCTTGCTAGGATAAGGGTAGTTTCTAGAAACACACTGGAAAGAGTGACTCGCGGAGTAAATCACGGATTTGCAAAACGAGCGCTTCAATACAACAATGTCGTCGAGAACAACAGATGGGGTAATTACGTAAATTGGAAGTTGTATCCTTTATTTGGTCTCTTGGAACACAGAAAGGTTTCCATAGGTTTACCGTATAAAATTCTTTTGCAAAGAGAAATCAACGACAACAAGATATTCTTTGGTGAAAACAACTCTGACGCAAAATTGGAAATAACGAATATCCAACTTTACATACCGGTAATCACTCCTTCCGTAGAAGTGGAAACGAGAATATTCATCTCTTTAACCAAAGACATCGAAATTGCTTTTCTTCGTCGTAACACGGTAGGTAGCATGACTTTAACGGGAGAATCCACCACGTGTCCAATCACCAACACCGTCAAACCAGCGAGATATCTAATGGTCGGTTTCAAAAACTTGCCAGACTCTCAGACAAACAACAACAACATTTTCAGAGTGGCATTGAACCATACTCAAGATCCCATCATTCGCAAAGTTCAAGTCAGATTGAACAACGATAATTATCCCAATCAACCTTTGACAATTGATCCTTCCAAAAAAGATTACAACGAATTGTACAGAAACTATAAAAACATGTGCGAATTGTTTGGAAATACGCCTCAGTTTGAATACACAGATTTTTCACTCAATCATCCAATCTTTTGTTTCGATCTGTCAGCTCATCAAGAAGATCTTTTCAAAACAGGGGTAAACATAAATATTCACATCGATAAAACACAAGGAGATGTGACCGGCTACTGTTTATTGCTGGAAGAAGCAAAACATTTAATTAAAGTATCAGATAGAAGAATGATAAGAATTGAATAAAAAAAACACCCTTTAAAAATGAAACCAGAAACTTTAGTTATGAAAATAATAGAAGCTATGGAAACGAATTCGCCGACTCTAATAACTTACAACGGTAAAAAAGTGCATATAACCCAAAAGATTATCGGTAAATACAAACATTGCAAAGTCAGAGACGATATAGAGAATTTAACTAAAAAAGGTGGATTTTTACCTTTCTTACCTTTAATCTTTGCTGGTTTAGCTGCAGCTGGTGCAACTGCTGGTGGAGCTGCTGGGATAGCCAAAGCTGTCAACGATAAGAAAGCTGAAGCCGCTGCAAACGCCGAAGCACGTAGACACAATTTGACAATGGAAAGAGAAGCACGAGGAGGTTCGGGAGTAGGAGATATATTAGGGACGGTTAAAGAATTCGGACAAAGATTTGGCGAAGAAACCAAGAAAACCGTTAAAGAGGGATTAAGCAAATTAATAGATAAAATCGACACCGGAGAAATGAAGGTCAAACACAAGGGTGACGCCATATTTTTTAAAAACATACGTTCGGGCGAGGGGATCTTCCTTTCAAAGTATAAAGGCAACGGGGTGATTTTTGGTACGAAAATGTAATAAATAAAAATGGGCAAGAAATTTAATCATTCGGAAATATTTCCTAATAACCCAATGCTCATGTGTATATGCGGTAGTTCAGGTTCTGGGAAAACTCATCTCACTTTTAACATGTTGACAACACCAAACCTTTTAGATTTCGATTCTCTGTATATCTACACAACAACACCAGAGCAATCGTATTATCAATTCCTCAAAGCTTTGGAATATTTACTAAAGAAAGATGTTCAAGACATATTTCAATATTACGAGGAAAACGAAGAAGAGGTGGAAATAAAAGATATCATAGAAAACTTCATAAAATCAAAGAATCCATCTTTCAATCCAACGGATATAAAAGTTTTTCTTACGAAAAATGTTAATGATCTAGACTTGTC